GGGGATTGAACCCAGGGCTTGTACATGCTATGCAGACACTCTACCACTGAGCTACACTCCCAGTCTTGGGGCTTTGAGACAGGTCTCACCGTTAGCCTTGAAGATCCTCCTGCCTCAGCCTCCTGAGTGTTGAGATTACAAACCTGCAATCCCACACCTGTCCCAGGCACTGTCTTTTTAGACTCAAACACATACAATCTGATAAATACAAGAATACTGTGACTAAGAGCTGGTGAGATGTCTTAGTGGGTAAAAATGCTTGCCATGTAAGCCTGAGTTCAATCGCAAGAATCCATAAGGGAAGGGGATAATCAACTCCCAACAGTTGTCCTCTGACCTCACAAGCATATCCTGGACCACATGCATCCACATTCACACATCCATACATCAGTTGTCCTCTGACCTCACAAGTACATCCTGGCCCACATATATCCACACCCACACATCCATACACACAAATTTAAAAGTTAAAAAGAATACTGCAACTAATTGGCTGTTTCAAAATGAGAACGTTCCTTGAAAACTTGAGATAACCATTACCAAAATCACAATACCAATGATGACAAATTTTATACTGCCAAGGGTATGCTTTCAGCTAGAAATTCCACCCTGTCTAACTCTCGGTCCCCTTCCCACCACAGGCACTGCACTTGATGACCTGGAGGTGGAGGTAGTAGATCCAGTTCGTTCGTTCGTTCGTTCGTTCGTTCGTTCCTTCCTTCCTTCCTTCCTTCCATTCATTCATTTATTGGTCTTTTTAAAAAAAAATTTATGTGTATGAGTGTATTGCCTGCATGTATGTGAGTGCGCCTGTGTCGTGCAATGCTGTGAAGGTCAGAAGAGGACTTCAGATTCCCCTGGAACTGGAGTTAAGGACAGTTTGTATCTGCCATGTGGGTGCTAGAAATTGAAATCGGGTCCTCTGCAAGAGCAATCAGTGCTCTTAACCTCTGAGCTATCTCTCCAGCCCCATTTATTGGTCTTTTTGATACAGGGTCTCCCTGTAGTCCCAGCTGGCCCGAACTCGCTATATAGACCGGGCTGGCCTTCAACTCACAGAGATCCGCCTGCCTCTGCCTCCTGAGTGCTGGGACTAAAGGTGTGCACCACCATGCCCAGCACATCCAGTACTTTTGATTCATTTCGTTATAAACACTTTGAGGAAGAAGGTGAGATTATCCAACACTGTGTAAGTACACACGAATTGTCTATATACCTATGAGGCTAAAATAAAATCAACTAAAAGTATTATTAAAGGCAGAACTCATTGGAATTAAGTTAAGCAGTCTGCATTGTTTATACAAGGCCCAAAATCAATCTATGACCATTACTTGTCATATTTTAACTCACATATCGAAAGAGTACCAAAAGGAGTCTTAACACAGGACAAAAGCAAGCATCATACAAAGTTACTGTTTGTTTTTTTTTTTTTCCCCTTTGGTCTTTTGAGACAGGGTCTCCCTGCAGCCCCAGCTGGCCTGGAACTCACTATGTAGACCAGGCGGGCCTTGAACTCACAGAGATCCGCCTAGCTCTGCCTCTTGAGTGCTGGGATTAAAGGTGTGTGCCACCACAAGACAAAGTTACTGCTTATGGAAGAGAGGCCTACTTCTCAAGTGTCAGCAGGATGCGGACCGACAAATGCAGATGAGCAATTTAAAGTCAAGGCCAGTCCCATCCCCAGCACCAAAACAAGCCAGCAAACAGTCCATTCCAAAAGGGTCTCTACTGGAGAACCACATATTTCTACAGAATTTGATTCTGGAATATTTAATGACATGTGTGTAGATATTTCTACTACTGCCACTGTACCATATAGTAAATTCCTGACATGTACTCAAAATTAAATGTATAAAATGAAGGAAGGTTGGTGAACTACACAGGAAAACTTCCTAGGTTTCTCATCTGTAAAAGGATTAAGTTAGACTATATTAAGCTGAAGGCCAAAATGATTTCATGGTCCAACGTGAGTCTTCCTTACCACTGAAGGTGGTCTCTCTTTAAATGTAACTGCACGTCTCCAAGTGAGACTTATCAGTGAGCTGCACTGGCCCAGCATATACGGTGGGATCCAGGACTGGCAGTTTTCAGTCCTCTAGACAGCGCTTGTTCCAAAGCCCTGTTTACTCAGCTCTGCCTGGAGGAGGCTCAATTGTCAAGATCTCCTGGAACCCATGCCTTTTGCAGCACAGTACAATCAAGGCTCAAAACAAAACAAAACAAAAACCTCTCTTACAGGGTGGACTGCAACCACCTAGTAACCCTAAGACTTCCTGCAGTCTTTCTTATGCAGGAGGCAAAGTGCTTCTTTTTTTTTTGTCTTTTTGAGATAGGGTCTCCCTGTAGCCCCAGCTGTCCTTGAACTCACAGAGATCCGCCTGTCTTTGCCTCCCAAATGCTGGGATTAAAGGCGTGCGCTACCACACCCGGCCCATAGAGTGCTTCTTCTTCTTCTTTTTTTTTTTGGTCTTTTCGAAACGGGTTTTCCCTGTAGGCCCAGCCAGCCTAGAATTCACTATGTAGACCAGGCTGGCCTTGAATTCACAGGGATCCACTCACAGAGACCCACCTGCCTTTGCCTCCCAAGTGCTGGGACTACAGGCATACACCAACATGCCCGGCTAGAGTGCTTCTTTTTTAAAAGTAAAAAGCAGACCAGGCAACTCCCCTCAGAACGTTCCCTCCTCCACTCAGGGTGAAGAGAAAGTCCTTTCCCAGCACTCTGTCCCGCTGTCTTCCTACTCTAGCTCTGACACAGCGTGCAGGACCTCTGTACCAACTGCCCCTTCTGCCTGGGATGCTTGTCCCCTAGAAAAAAATTTTATTTATTATTACTGTACATACATGGAGGCGGGGACACACGTGTGATGATACACTAGTGGAGGTTGGAGGACGATTGTGGAGTGGCTCTCTCCTTCCACCTTTACATGGATTCTAGGAATCAAACTCAGGTTGCCCAGTTTATACAAGTTCCTTTACCACTGAGTGACCTCACTTACCCTCTACTTCGATTTTTCTTTTTCTATTTGAGACAGGGTCTCCCTGCAGCCCCAGCAGGCCTAGAACTCACCACACAGACCAGGCTGGCCTCACAGGATCTGCCTGCCTCTGCCTCCCAGTGCTGGGATTAAGGACATGGGCAACTATGCCTGGCTTTCAGCTTCCATTGCTTGCACAAATTTCACTTCCTCAAGAAGGCCTAACCTCACCATTCTATTTAAACCTAGATCTCAGGGCTGGAGAGATGGCTCGGAGCTCAGGAGTACTTGTTGTATGC